TTCTTTGCTAAAGCTTTATTTTAAGACCTAAATAAACCATTTAGGTTTTAAATACAAAACTTGGAAAAACCAAAAAAAGTTTTTGGTTTTTCCAAGATGAGTTTGGTAAAAAAAGTTTTACCAAACTCATTAGGAACCCGTAATGTGTGCTTTTGTATCTACCACTAAAACAAGAAGTTAGTTTTCTTAAAAACTTCTTTTTAAGCGTTCTTTTTACCCATTAAAATTGATTACCATAAACTAAATAAACATATTGTTTGCGATATGCAAAACAAAGAATGTGTACTACACCAATGTACTTCATGTCCAAAAAATACATCTAAATTAGAAGAAAAACTTTGAACTAATAGGGTAGTTTGAGGGAGAAGATTCAATTGAATTCAACAAATCGATTACTACTGATAGATCGGATTTAACTATACAGATTGTAAGCATACCAGAATATGTAAATATGGTGATGGAGAAAACTAGTGAAGCTAACAGCGCATTTATATATTTTAAATCCCGATCTAAGAATTTAAAAAATCTTAAAGAAGAACTGCCATCAAATAGCGCAATAATTCTAGAAGATTTTGCTATAAAAAACTATAGTTTTGTTGTGCGGGATGAATTACAAGGTTTCCATTGGAATAATCTTCAGTGCACACTTCATAATTGTGCACTATAAAGACAATCAACTATGGCATTCCAATTTATATTGCATTATATCAGATAATAACAACCATAATGTAGCAATGATTTACGAGGTACAAAAATCAGTTATTAACAATCTAAAGCAAAAGAAACATGATCTACTTTTCTGATGACTGTTTGTCTCAAGATAAATATTTTTAACCTTTCAGCATAAATGAGATTTTAAAATAAATCCAAAATGGGTTTTCTTTGCAACCAGTCATGAAAAGCTATCTTATGATGGTATATGAAGGGCAGTTAAACGGTTTATAGCCAATACTTGTTTGCAGAGAATTTTTACAAATTAAATATTAAATTCATGCGATATGTTTACATATTGTACTAACAACATCAAAGTTATCAACAGGGAGGTTTAATAAGCGCAAATTTCATAAGTGCAAACTAGCATAAGTGCGAAGCAGTTACAAAAACTGGCATAAGTGCAAATTGGCAAAAGTACAAGCTGGTTTGGCATAAGGGCGAATTGACATAAGTGCGCGGAATAAAATTGCAAATATTAACATAAGTGCGAATTGGCATTTCGCACTCATTCCAATTCGCACTTAAGTCAGTTCGCACTTATGCAAATGTTTACAAATTCTTTAGGCACACATGCCAATTCGTATTTATGCTGATTCGCACTTATTTTTTTGCGATTTTTTTTTTTGCGATTGCTTCGCGCTTATCCCAGTTTGCACTTCCCAGGTAACACAAAACGTTCAACGAACGTTGCAAACGTTGAAGAACGTTCTATAAACGTTTATAGAACGTGCTCAAACGTTCGTAACGTTCATCGAACGTACTTAAAGGTTTTGTGTTAGCTGGGTTATGCCAATTCGTACTTATGCAAATGTTTGCATACTCCTTTAGCGAACATATGCCAGTTTGCACTTGTATCAGTTTTTGCAACTGGTTAGCATTTTGGACTGTTCGAACTTATGGCGATTTGCACTTAAGCCAATATTTGCGAATTTTTTTTTTACGCTCTTATGCCAGTTCGCACTATGCCAGTTTGCAGTTATAAAAATCGCACTTATCCAGTCATCTCCTATAAACTTACATTTATTTTAAATGAAAGTTTGATACAAACAAAATTATTACAATCTGAACAGTTTAAAAATATAAAAATAATACCAGGAACTAGAGACTTTTATGAATTTATTCCTGTATGTCAAAGAAAAGATGAATTACTGCAGTAATGACGCTATGCCCAGTTTGACTTTTAGAAATTGTGAGATGCAAGGATAAGTGCGATTTTTTCTTAAATCTTTAAAGACATTTGCTGACTTCCTTATATCAATTTTTACTTAAAATTGGCAGTTTGCATATGTCTATGATATGTTTATGATAATATTTTGCATTTGTTAAAAAAAAATTTACAATTTTCTGTTTTGTTTTACAGTTCAATGAAAAATAAAGAAATGTTGAAAGTTCAATAATTCATATGAAGAACTGTCAATTCATAAAAATATGGAATTTAAAAAAAGAATAACGTGTTTTAATATTTTAAATTAAGTTTACTTATAGACATGGATACTATGGATATTGCAGTTTTAACATAAGTGAGAACACTTCTTACTTTCTTGTTGTGCCTACATATAAATACATATCAATCTTCTCAATATCTTTTCAATCAAAAATTCTAATTAATTAAGTTTTTTAGGTTAGTAAATTAAAAAACAGCTCAGTATTTTTTTTTTTTTTTTTGCATTCAGATATTTATACATACTTTAAAAATATGAAGTTTGGAAATAAATAGATCATTTCCTTTTTCTGTAACTCTTCTTACGGTAAACATGTTTACTTTTAAATTAAAAACGTCGGTTTACACTTAATGGCTAAATAATAAATATAAAAAGTTATACTTTTAAAAAATTATACTGAGAAATTCAGAGTATACTTTTATAATTTCAAACAATCATAACTTCTAAAACATTTCAGTTTGTTTAAAACAACTTTGGGGAGTTCTTTTTAGCATTGTTAACTATCTTTGTTCCAAAAACTATGTAGTTTAGATATAGTGGGTTATTTTTTTGATTTTTTTTTGTTGTTTCAATATAGAATTACTGATGAGGGAAATTAGTATTCTCTTCAAATTTTTTTATCGGAACAAATACGTCCGCTTTTCTTTAAACTTCAAAATAGAACAGAGTAACTTAGGAGGTTTATCTTTGTTACTTAGTTGTTCAAAATAAATTAACACAATTTAAATTAATTTTTTAGTTGTACTGTTGCTGTAAAAAAGTGTTTGCTTTACAGTATATTTTAAATTTAATTTTTTAAATTAATTCATTTTTTATTTATTTATTTTTTTTATTAACAAAGCTTTAGTATCCTTACATCAAAAAAAATAGATCTTTTTCGGCATGATTATTTAAACCTCTGACTTTTTCATTTGACTTTCCAATCTTTGTGCAAAAAATTAGACGGAAAATTGTCTCGTAAACAGCTCTGTAACATGACATGAATGTAACAGAGTACCATAATAGCACTGAGAAAATTAAAGTTTCAACCGCCAAATCTAGACATAAAAAACATATAATTTTGAAAACTAAAAATAATAATTTAATAAGCCTAATAATCTTTTTTGAGATGCTAGAAGTCGAAAGAAGCTATTTACTTGTCAAAAAGTGTTAAAAAACATATCCTAAAATCTTCTAGCCTTTTTTTAAATTAGAAACTTTAGAGAATTAACCTTTACAAACCTTTTAATTTATTAAACTATTTAATTTAACTAGTTAATACAACATAACTAGCGATTGGTTTTTAAATTAAATTCTAGGTTTTAAATTTAATAGCATTTAAATATTTCTCAAAAATTCATACTGATGTGTGGTTAAATTTTCATGATCATAACTTTAGCTTATGATCATAAAGTTGTCGCACGCAACTGAGGTGCCTAGTTAACCTAATTTTATATGCATTTTTTTACCTTAAAAAACATAATACGGTTAGAGTTATTGTATATAATGGTGGTACTCCACAGCAGTAGCACAGGAAAATTTTTTTGTTGTTTTAGAAATGGCACTTTCGGACATTGTTTAAACTACAAATTTAAGTATGTTTATACATATGTCAAATAAGAATGTTTTGCAAATCGCAGTGATTAGAGCCTACGAACAAAAAAGCTCACAAATTTCGCTCCCTCTATTCCTAACTTTAGAGAAATCAGTTGAAAAAATATAGATTTATGCATATTGCACTAATCTTAAAATTATCGAGAGATTTTAATTTCATTTAAAAATCCTTTAGTGTTCAAAAAATTTTTTTGAATGTGCCACTTCAGGATAAAATCAGATTAAATGCTCAACAAATAATTCAGTTGCACAAAGTTGCGCAACGATGCGCCAGTTTTACCCGTAAAAAAAATGCTTAAACAATGTTAAAAAATAAAAAGGTTTAAAAAAATAAAAACAACTTTAACTTAATTAACTAAACGAATTCCTTGAAAGACAAAATTTAATTTAATGATAACTTTTTTATAAAAGTTTAAAATAAAGCTTTACAAAATTAATAACGGTTACCAGCGTATTTTGAATGATCTTTAAGCAAATTAAATCGTGATCAATTTGTTAAAAAATTTTTTTCGTCATACTTGAATAACTTCTTTTGTCAATTTTTGCTACTGATTTGCTACTTTTTACTAACTGAGCGCCAAATGATTTTTTTTTTTAATTATTTGAAAAATTTATTTATAAAATATATATTTAAATATTGTTTATTATTATTGTTAAAATTATTATTTTTATACATATTGTTTTGAAATACAGATTTTGAAATTTCGAGAGTTTGTTCTTATTGAAATTTATAATTTAGTTGAGTTACAAATTCTGATTTGAGCATGATCTTTTCGTTATACTTATGAAATGACACATTGGAAATGATATTAATCATGCGATTTTTTACGCTGAGTGAAAATATTGGCTAACGAAAGGATGTAAATTGGAGAACTGGGTAGTAAGCAACACTAAAAATTTCTGCATGAATAAACTTTGTATTTAAAATTTTTTAATTTGGAAATTTTTTGTAAATAATTTTTTTAATACTAATTTTATTTGCAAAACGCGATAAACAACGACTGGCGTAGCTCCAAGTTTCAGCGTTTAAATTAACTTTAGTGCGTTTAATAGGCTTTTCGCAGTTGTTTACTGTTCACTCGCTTCAAACAGTGTTTGTTACTAAAACTTGCTTGTTTCTCAACCACCTTTAGTAGCGTTAGCAAATGCAAGCGACAGCTACGAACAGATTTCGATTCATTCAACCAATTCAAACACCTGTTTGTACTAACAAAAATGCCACGGAACCGAATTATCTTAATTATAGCAATTTCTTAATAGCGCATTATTAAAAAGAAATCACTAAACACTTCATATTGTTGTAAGATCATTAAAATTAGAAAAAATCACAAATTCGGTAGAGATTACAAACTTTAGATTAGGGAAGAAATGCCTCGTGCGTTTTTATTGAAGCGAAACACTAAAGGTTTATCATTAAGCGAAGATGAGAATGAAGATAGCGACAGCGATTCTTGGAAAATTGGTAAGATTATAAATCATACAGTATAGTTGTTAAATAAATTTTTTATAAGAGTTGCTTTCCAAAATAACTTTTTTGGAAGTTTTGTAAAGTAAAATAGTTGCAACTTAGGTAACTATGGCAGTTACTAAGGTAACAACTAAGGTAATTGTGTCAATATATACTACTTACAAAAAGCATTTTAAAGTTTTATTTTCTTTCATTAAAGCATGATCATAAGGTATAAAAAAGATTGCAAAGTGTATAGGAGTGGTAGATAAAGTGCTTTGTTTACATGTGCTCATGCGCACACATAAACAAAACACAATTGTGTGCGTGTGTTTTAATACCTTTTTTTTTTCTCACAGAAAAGTTTCAAGTTTTAGAAATAAAATTTTTAAAACCACTGTAATTAAAAATCAAACACAAAGAAAATAAATAAAAAATCACATTGCTAGTTACATACCTAAACCCAGCTAGTAATTTTCAATTTTAGAATGATTATCTCCGAAATTTTAAACAATATCAAGAAAATGTAAGAAATGAGCCAGAGTTTAAACTTTGTACAAACTTGGTTTAAAGTTCAAAGTTGTATTAATTTATTAAACTCATCTTAGTAACACTAAATAAATAGCTTTACCATAAATCTTATTATTTACTCCGTTATGCCGCTACTTTCCGTAGTTTTCTGCATTTTTTTCATACTTAAGAAACGAAGGATTAATATTCGATTGCTTGACGCGACTCATACACACATAAAAAAGTACATATATACTAATACAACATAATCAAATATAAAAAATCTATTTTTAGAATCTTCAATGGAACAAAAAAATTTTAGTTTAGAAGATGAAGTTGACGATCAATTAAGCAGTTCAAGCGAATCGTCGTCCGGTGTAAGCGAGTTATCGTCGCTTTCAAGCGAACTATCCGGTAATAGCAGCGAAAAAGAAAATCGAATTGAAAACATTCTTAAACGTAAGTTTCATATCTTTGAGTTATCTATTTCTCCATTGACAATTGTTTCCATAGTTTCCATTTACCAATAGTTTACCAATAATTTACTTTAACTCCTTAACAATTTAATACTATGTATAAATGTGATATTGCATCAATTTTTAAATATAAAATTGATAAAGGAATCTTTCGAAATAAAGTTAATTATAGAAAAAAAAAATTCTTATCAGCATGTTTTTATCATTAGAAGAGGAAAATAAAGATGTTTCGACTTCACAATTTCCCCGTTCCTTTTTGGAATTTTTGAATGATGAGCGGATTCAAAAAAGTCTGGCTTCCTTCAATTATCACAGCTGTAAAATAGAGAATAACAAAAGAGCCAATGAAAATTACTCCAAACCATTATACTTTACACCAACATCAGCTGACCGTCCTCTTCATCAATTTCCGATGCAGAACTATTTATCCAGTGGCATTCGATCAATTCATCATAGTTATAACTATCCATTGTTCAAGAGTGTACTCCAAGAAAATCAAGAAATTCATCTACATTCACGAACAAGAGCACAAGATCGTCTGTACCCTTGCAAAATTTGCGGTAAAGGATTTAAACGTTCATCAACGTTGTCGACACATATGATGATTCATGCTGATATTAGACCATTTGCATGTTCTTTTTGTGGCAAAAAGTTCCATCAAAAATCTGATATGCGTAAACATACTTACACGCATACCGGTGAAAAACCTCATAAGTGTGGTTATTGCGGAAAATCATTTAGTCAGTCTTCAAACTTAATCACCCACTGTCGAAAACATAAAGGTTTTAAACCTTTCCGCTGCACATCTTGCTCAGAGGAATTTCAACAAAAAATTGATTTAAGACGCCATATGTATATTCATCAGAGTAGATCTCTAATTGATATTGAAAATATAAGTTTAAAGAATTAAGCAACATTTGTGTGTTATCGAGAAACTAAACGACGTTTGTGTGTTATCGAGAAACTAAACGACCTTTGTGTGTTATCAAGAAACTAAATGATGTTTGTGTATTATCAAGAAATAACATGATATTGCATTCTGGAATCACATTGTGCTTTATAATGAAAGAGGTTATTCTATTATATCTCCATAAAGATCTTTTACATATAGATAACATTATTGTGCATTGTTTTGTCTACATTATACACTGATTATAATAAGCATAATAGATTATTTTTAACTACGCTTATTGTATTGCTCAAACCATGGTCACTGTGAACAGTAAAAAAGAAAAGTACTATACTAAAACTCATTCTTCAAAAGAATTTGATCAGACATCTACGTATATTTTTATGGCTTAAATCATATAATATTACGTTTGATTAAATTTTATATATTTTTGATTAAACTTTATAAAGATTAAGTAACTAGCAGATTTTATTAAAAAATTTTTGTGACTTGAGTGCATTTAGTCCTAGGCTCTTTGATTTAAATGTTTTTAGCCAATGTTGTATACAATGTTGTATAAAGTTAATGTTACTTTATTTGTTTTTGATATTTTAAAAAGTGATATAAGTTTTATAAAATCAAATTTTATTACAAATAGAATTAATAGTTACTTATGTTTATTCTCACTCACCTTTGAAGGTGAAAATAAACATTGCAGAACAAAAGTAAATATTTAAACAGTACATAACGTTGCAGGTTTTAGTACTGTTGAAATTTTATTTATTGATGTTGTTATAACTGATTTGTTTTTTTATCGTTATTGTTGCTATTGTGTTTGGTACTGTTGGTGTTTTAATCGCTTTCGTTGTTGTCGTTATTGTTGCTGTTTTAAATATTTTTGTTACTGTCGTTGTTGTTGCTCTTATAACTGTTGTTACTGAAATTGATTCAGATGTAATTGTTATTGCTATTGCTAATTATGTTATTTTTGTAGTTGTTTTTGCTAAAGCCTTAATGTTTCTGTTGTAGTTTTGCTGTTGTCGGTATTGCAGCATTTGTAATTATTTTGATATTGCCGTAAATGTTTCTGTTGTAACATTGTTAGTGTCAACATTGCTGCTGTTGTAATTGTTTTTGCCGTAGTCGTTAATGTTTCAGTTGTAATTTTGTTAATGTCAACATTATTGCTGTTTTAATTGTTTTTGTTATAGTCGTTTATTTTTCTGTTATAAATTTGTTGTTGTCGGTATTGCTGCTTTTGTAATTATTTTTGCTATTGCCGTTAATATTTCTGTTGTAACACTGTTGGTGTCCGCTGCTGTTGTGTTTTAGTCACGTTGTTGTTGCTGAAATGTTAAAGTTACACAATTTTAATGTATTCTTATGATCTTATCGTTTTTATCATATTTTTTCTAAAGTACAATGTATATATTTTTTAATAATAATTATTTTTTATTTGATTGTTTATTTATAACTTTAATTATTTTTACAAAATATTTACATTTTTAAACTATTTATTCATATTTTACTTGAAGATTTTTTTATACAGCAAAAACTTTGTAAATTTAAACTGCCTCTATTATAAACAATATTATATTGTATTATATCCAGTAATGTAAAATTTAGTTTACTTTAAATATATACTGTTATACTATTTCTTGCTGCATAACAAGATATGGCAAATTTTTAATTTTATTAGTAGTTTTATGCGTAACGTATCACTAAACTTGTACAAGGCTTAAAAGTTTTTAGTTGTGGTATCCACCAGGTTTCAAAACCTTAGTCTTCTCAAAAATATAAATGATATCCACTTATCCTTTTCAGGGGCTATTCTAGGAAATTAATTTTGTTGGTAGTCTAGAAAAGCCTTTGCTTTTGGTTTCTTTTTTTTTTATTCTTTTTGCTGATGATACTAATAATAATATTTTATTCACATTTTTAATCTGATGACATATCCCTTAAACTTCTACTTTTATTTATAAATAACATTAAAGTCAAAAATTTTTATTCAATGATAATTCAAGGTTTAACATTTTAAATTGAAAAAATCATATTAAATTAATAAAAAAAAAAATTTCTAAAAATCTGAGACATATACTCAAAATAAAAGACCATTTAAAAATGAACACACTGTGCTTTAAAAAATTTATTTTAAATCTATCAATAGCTTTATAGAGATATAGCGCGGACAAGTTATCCTTCATCTTCATCAAACAAAATTTATAGCAAACAAAAACAGGTGAGTCGGGTAATTTGAATGCGGAACATGATATTTTGAATTATGAACATGAATGCGGGTAATTTGAAAGTGTATGAACATGAATCAAAATTTATTTTGACGTTTAAACAACATGCTTCCAAAATGTTTCAGCCACATTTCTCCTCAAATTTCACTCACATATACTAAACAAGACTATGTAAATATAATATAACATTTATATATATATATATATATATATATATATATATATATATATATATATATATATATATATATATATATATATATATATATATATATATATATATATATATATATATATATATATATATATATATATATATTGATAGTGTAGGATTATAACTTTTTTGTGACTTCATGTTCCTGCACCATAATTCCATAAATATTTGTACAAAAGTAATGTTAATTCGATTTTCTTGTTAAAAAAGGTCACCCATAAATCCAAAATTTGAATTTACTATATAAGCGTATAAATAAAATTTCAAACAACTCTATGATCATTATTTTTTAATTCTAATTTTTTTAACACTCTAAATAACAAATAAGTATAATATTAAAACCTTAAATAATATTTCTACAAGTACAAAAAGCTACTGTATAATATACAGTATGTATATCAAAAAAATGTTGTGTAGTATTCAGCCTAATTAAGCATAATATATATATTATGCTTAATTAGGCTGAATACTACACAACATTTCTTAGGCTTTGTTAGAAAAAATAAAGCTGGAGGTTCTCTTTCTTTTTGCAGACTTCAAAATGATCTTGATGACAAATGATTGTTCGTTCTGCAATTTTACAATGACAAGACTTCTATCTTTTACTTGCTCCTGTCGTTCCAAAATTTCAGTTAAACTTTATTGATGAAACTTGTAAAACAAGAGCATTGTAAAATTTGTTCTGGGAATTTCCAACCTTTGATGGCTCCTAATTCCAAAACTTTCGTTACTGTACAATTTGCTACATAGCATCAGATAATCATCTGCATTGTACATTTAGTCAGTAAATTAATAGTCCATTCATCTTAAAGAGATGAATCTACAAAAGTTGAGTAGTGAGTTTTTTCTCTCTGTTAGAAGAAAAAATACCAAAAGAACTAGTACTGCTCATGAATTTCATCTTGCATTATTTAAGTTAGGTGTTTTCTGCAACTTAACATTAGAAAACCTCAGGTTCTTCAAAAAAAAGCGGAATACCCAAGTTAAATGAAAAAGAAATTTCAAATCATTGCGCCATCCCACTGTTTCAATAAACACTTCTTTACGTTCTTGAACATCTTCGAGTATTAATTTTATTTTTATCATTAGATTTTGCCATTGAATAACAATTACAATCCACATAAATTTACAACTAAGTTAATGGCAAGAGCCATATCTTACTTTTTTTTTTAATTTTAATTTTTATTTTTTATATAACGGGTGACAACTAAAAAACGAGACTGGATTTAAAGACACATATCTCCTTAAAGGAGTAAGATTTTAAAAATAGGAAAATTGTTTTAGAAGCTATTTTTATTCTAGTTTTTAATTTTTGAATGTGTTTTTATTTTTTATAGAAAAATGAATAAAAATAAATCCAAAACAAGAAAAGATTAGAAAACGTGTGTATGAATTTTATTTAAATTACAAAAATGCTTTTAAAAAGTTCACTCATGACCACTTTAAAGTTGAGAATATATCTAAAAATACTATCTACAAGATAATTAAACGTGCTGAAAGTGAATCTGAGTACCAAAGAGTTCAAGGAAGTGGAGTAAAAGCTAAAAAAATGACCAGGAAAAATATAGAAAAGCTCACACTCATATTTGACCATAAAGACAGAGTTTCTCAATGACAGGCAGCTAAAAAGTTCAACTGTACTTAGAAACACATAAGTAAAACAAATTAAAAAAAAAACAAATATTAAATCAAGAAAAAAACGACGAAAAAATGACGATTCCAAAACGCTCGGACCAGCAAAAAAAGCAGTAACTAAAACTAAGTGCGGTCGATTGTGTCAGAAATTCAAAAATCGTAAACCAGTCATTGAAGATGAGTCTTATTTCACGTTAAATTACTCCAGTATCAATGGAAATGATTTTATACTAGTGATGTAAAATCTACTCCATCTACAGTTAAATACCAAACAAACAAACAAAAAGTTTCAAAAGAAATTACTTCTATGGATTGCTTTTTCTGAAAATGGAATTTCTCAACCTTATTTTGTACAAAGTGGACTGGCTGTAAATCAAAAAATCTATTTAAACAAATGTATTAAGAAAAGACTTATTCCATTTATCAATAAGTATCATTCAGATGGTGCATATGTATTCTGGCCAGATTTAGCATCATCTTACTATGCAAAAACTGTAATCATGTACCTAAACAAGGAAAACGTGCATTATGTTGAGAAAGCGGTAAGAGTTGAGATAACCCTGCAATCTTTCCAGAATGTCGTCCTATCGAAAATTTTTTCAGTATTTTGAAAGACCTTGTCTACAAGTGTAATTGGCATGCAGAAAATCTTTAAAAAATACGTTCTAGAATTAAGTATTGCCTTAATAAAATTGATGTTGAGCTCATATGGAGACTAGCTCAGTCTATACCAGGCCTATTTGACTAATTCAGAAGAAATGGTTTAATTAAGAACAACTGATTTTATATTTAAAAACTAAAATAAAAATACTTTCTAGAACATTTTTCCTTTTTGTTATTTAATGAGATATGTGTCTTTAAATCCAGTCTCGTTTTTTAGTTGTCACCCGCGCGGGTGACAAATAAAAAACGAGACTGGATTTGACAACTAAAAACGAGACTGGATACTGGCCAGTATCAATAAAAATAAAGAATAAAGAATACGGAAACTCAAAAAAGACCGTGATGTCTTTTCGCAGAGAATCGTTTGGATTTAAGCAAAATAAGTTAGATAAGAGTTTTCATAGATAAACACTCGCATATACTCACATATACATGCATATACATACTCATACATACAAGCATATGCAATAAAATACAATTTACATTGTAGACGAATTTTTTTTTTTAAATACTATGCTATTTTTCGTTTTACAACTGAAATATAAGTTTAAAAAAAAATGCTTTTATGAGAAAGTAAGAAAGTCTTTAGAACATTATGTTTGAATGATTCATGATATATAGATTCATGATATATATAAAAACTCAGGGCGTGGGTAGAAAAACTATTTATTTTTTATCAAGAAGAAGTATAAAAGTATATTATCAATAGACAAAATGGTTTTCTTAAGTTTTCTTTTAAATGAGTTAAAATTCCATTCATGAGAAAAATAAGCGTTAAGCTGATATATATTTAAAATATTCATTTTAAGTAAAAAAGGCCTGGCATGAGTAAAAGGATCTTTAATGGTTTTAAGACGTGCAATGTGTTTCTGTTGACGATGAAGAAGTTTTAGCACACTTTTATTGACACTACCCCAAGCAATATTAGCGTAGTTAGTATAGCAATAAATAAATGAATAATATGATTGAATTAAAGTATGTTTGTTTAAGAAACCTCTTGATTTGTATAATATTCCTTTAATTCTAGCAATTTTGCTATTTAAATTTTTAACGTAATTTTTCCATTTAAGATTTTCATCTATATAAATGCCTAAAAAATTTGTAAATTTTGTCCGCTTTATTTCAATATTGTCAACAAAAATAAGGGGCGTAATACTTGGAATTAATGTTTTTTTTTTTAAGTTGGGTTAAAAAGCATCCATTTAGTTTTTTTTTTATTAATCAATAGTTTGTTTGATTTAAACCAGTTAGAAGATTTAATAAGCTCAGTATTCATATTGCTAAATAATGTTGTAAGATCATTGCTTGCTAAAAAAAAGATTAGTGTCATTGGCAAACATACTTGTCATTAGATTCGAGGTTTTATAGAGATCATTGATATATATTAGGAAAAATAAAGGAAAAATAAAGGGCCTAGTATTGAGCCTTGTGACACTCCACAAGTTATATCTAATAGGTCTAATGATAATGATGAGTCTATTTGAATAAACTGTTTACAATTAGTTAAATAGTTCTTTAGTAATAATAACGTATTTACAGTGATTCCATAATGTTCTAGTTTGTTATAAAGAATTTCATGATCTATAGTATTGAAAGCTTTCAATAGATCTATGAAAATACCTAAAAAAAATAATTAAAATAATTGTTTTTTAGTTTTTTTATTGATTTTATCAAAATTCGTGTAATTAACACCGTTTTAATTTAACTTTAAACTGATTAAGTGAAATGTTCTTCACGGAAACAATGGTTGGATAGCTTTTCCACAACAATAGTCTTCTGTTCTGAATTGAATAGGAACTCAGTTTTGAATAAGATTTTGGTACAACAAAGTGGTTTATGGAGAAACTTATAGCATACTTATGGTGTATTTCTTTAAAGTTTCTAAGATATTTGGGGACAGCCCATATCTTGTTTCACGTACGATGCACGAAC